GGAGTTGCGCCCAAGGGCTGAGGCGCGCTCCCTCGCTGCCGGCTTACCCGCGGCCGGACGGTCCCGGAGGAAAGAGGGAAGAGACGGACAATGAAGAGAAGTGACCGGCGGAGTTTATTGTCGGCCGGCCGTTCCAAGCAGTAGCTTCCTGGGTCGCGGTGAGTTTTCTGAATAGGGTTGCCGAAAGGGAATCAGGACTGGGTGAGCTTGCCGCCACAGTGAGAGAATAGCGCACATTCCTTTATGCATTTGAAGCAGAAGAGAAACCGGTGCAGCAGACTTCGCCCAGCCTGATATTAGCAGGGAGCGCTGCATCAGATTGACTCAAGAGATTGGGGAGCGATTCGGGGAGAGGTGCCAGAAGAAAAGGTGTTGAGAGGCGTCTCCAGCTCAGCAGGACAGTGTTTGCGAGGGGCGCCGGGCGGCGGATGTTGGTCTGGTTGCTTTGGAAGCGTTTGGAAACCAAATCCATTTCTTGCTGATACCTTAATGCTTCTCTGAAATTAATTATTTTAGTGTTGTAACTCCGTTATTTACTCAATTTAGCTTTGTTTTGAGCTGTCACCTTGTGGCTGTGTTCGCATCACACTTAGCCGCGCACTAGCCAACGACATTTTAGCCTGCTGGGGTGGGGGAACCCAACCTGTTTGATAAGGTTTCCAGAATGTGATATTACTTTCTCCTACTACGTGTCAGCTTTCGTATTCTACTCTTCTTTGTACAAAACCCTTGACAAATATTTGAAAAGCAATGGAATATTAACAGATTCCATGTACACTACAGTAAAACTAGCAGCTACTTTATTTTCTTATATTAATGTGTTCCACTGCTTTAAATGCTAGCCCTGCCATCGAGAAATGAATGACTGTGCTTGAATTTTACCAAAGGTGCTGAAATGAGCCCTGGGTTAACATCTTCATTTATTTTAATTGGGCAAGAGACCTAAGGTTATACTCTCTCTTATAATTGCAAACTAATCAATTAAAGCTTTTAATTACAGATTTCCCCCCAGTCTGTGTGATAAGAAATGGCAATTAGTTTTGAAGAGCATTTGCCATGTAGACTTTATACCCAAAACTCATAGTTATTTTACATTTCAGAGTGAGCTATTGTAGGGCAACCAGATCTAGGCTGCAAAAATCCAGATCTCAACTAGATGGCAGCACAAAGTTAGGGTTGTCTATATGTCCATGCTGCCATTAAATGGTCCTCCAAATTTTACCAGTCATGATGTGGCAACCCTGCTGTTTGGTTGTAGCCAATGTCCTTCTCAATCTTTCATGTGCTGATAGGAGGAGAATTAAAAAAGATTAAGACTCATCAGCAGTTAATTTTAAAAGGCGTCTTTCCCTTCTAATAGCTATATGTACACAGTATGGTAGACCATAAACAGTTCTGTACAAGCCATAAAAATAACATTCACAAAACACAAACAAGCACACCATGTTGCCTAAGATCATTTGAGTAAACATACATAGTCAGTGAGTGGAAATGTAGCTTATCAGATATATAAAAGCTTTCTGCAAGATCATCAAAGATATGTTTTCACAGAGGTTTTGCAAAGTACAGGCATACCTTGGAGATACTGAGGGTTTGGTTCCAGACCACTGGAATAAAACTAATATTGCAATAAAGCAAGTCACACGAATATTTTGGTTTCCCAGTACATATAAAAGTTATGTTTACAGTATATTGTAAAGTGTGCAATAGCATTATGTCTAAAAAAAACAATGTATATACTTTAATTTAAAATACTTTATTGCTAAAAATGCTAATCATCATCGAATAGACTTGCCACCAGCTTTCAATTTGTAAAAAAAATACAATATCTGCAAAGCACAGAAAAGTGAAGCGCAATAAAACGAGGTATGCCTGTATACACATTTCTGTGTTAGTGTAAATCCAGATATATCAAAAAATGAAGTATTTAAATCAGTGGGCAGTCCTACTAAAGTGGGTTATTTTTCTGTACAGCTGAATTCTCCATATGTAATGGACTTAAAGAGAATCATGCAGACTGGGCAGGTTCAGCGTTCATATCCTGTTACAGGCAGTGAAGCCTAAGCAGATATTAAAAGGATGCTGTGCTTCATTAATGCTCTCAAATTGTTTACAGTGTATTTGTCTATTCATGTAGTCTTTGGCTCCAGGCATTCCACTTCTTTTCCATGAGAGAATATTGCTTTTATCCCGTTGTGGTACTTATATTTATTCAGAATTAGTAAACTGTGGATAGCCCATGTCTGCATAGCCCCATCTTGTTTTACAGTTACTTTGGTACATTTACTCTAAATTTAGAATGATCACACTCTGGAAAGTACTTTTACATGACTATAGGTGTCTGTATTAGGAACTCTTGAATTAGAGAGAGATGAGTCCAATTAGTTAATTACTTTCTCTTCCTTAATAGTTTCTGGATGTGTTTCATTGCAGTTAAAGGTCAAATGGTAGTCCTTCCCTGCTATCTCTACTACTGCAGATCTTATCTATGCATTTTTCTTTATAGGTAAGCCTTACCATAAATTTTTCCTTATTCTTGAATGACTACTCATAGGAGCGCAGTTTAATTAGTAAAAAAATAAAATCCCCCAGAGCCCACTTGCTTTAAAGCTTTTGCTTACTTGTCTACACCACTTTTTATCGAAATTCCATTGCTGAGGATTTGTACTATCAGGACAGTCTGTTCTGATGCATCACTTTGATCATCTAGCTGGCTGGGTGTGTTTAGAGTAGTGTTTCTCAACCTTGGTGACTTGAAGATGTGTGGACTTCAATTCCCAGAATTCCCCAGCCAGCATTCTGGGAGTTGAAGTCCATACATCTTCAAGTTGCCAAGGTTGAGAAACACTGGTTTAGAGTATCTAGCCATGTCACATAGCTGTCTAATAATAAACCAGTGTGATTCAATTAGTTTTTAAAACTTTCTTTCAAATGTGGTCTTGGCAATCCTCATTTTGGATGCATTTTTTCTAGTTAAATCCTAGCTATTTTGTGTCTAGGAAAAGACATCCTGGAGTTGTCATTCATACATTAATAATATGATTAGGAAATAGCCTGTTTACCTTTCAAGATAGAGAGCAGAATCAGCCCCTAAGCCTTAGCTGCATTTGAAGGCAAAACAATAATATTAATTCAACTAGTGCTATTGTATAACTAGGCAGAAATGGGGCTTTTCTGCATATTAACATTTTAGTAAACTTCCCCCCCCCCTCCAATATTACCATTGGGTGAACTATCGGTTTAGAATTAAAAGCTGACTGATCTTTGCTTCTTGCATCCTGTGATGATTAATATTGTATTCTGAAACTGTTGCTGATTTTTTTTATTTTTAAATGATTGTGAAGGAATTTAATATTCTTAAAGGAATTTGATTTTACTGTTTAGTAAACAAG